AGTATAAACACCTATTTTTCTAGCTGGAAAGCCAACTACAGTAAGTCAACATCGCATTTTCTCTTCTATTAATCCTACAAGTCAATCTGTTCCTGGATTATTTTACTGATCCATCAATTAGTTCTCATATTAGCATTATACAAACCATTAGTTTGACCACAAATCTTTTTTTTTTGGGGGGGGGGGGGAAGGATATTGAACCCAGTGCTAAGCTTGTATTCTCATACTGAGCTATTCCCCAATCCCTGATGACAGAAATTGTATAGAAGTTCTGTGGATATTGTTATAAGTATGTGGAAGGGAATTTTTACATACTGCTGATAGAAATGGAAGTTAATATAATCAGTACAGAGATTTTTAAAAACATTAAGCAATTTCATTGGAAATATGCACTAACAGAATTGTGAAAAGACACATATGTTCTCCTATGCTCTTCCCAGCACCACATTAAATTATGAAATGAGAACAACCTACATGCCTAAGAATATATGAATAGTTAAGAAAACGTGGTGTGTACATACAAAATGTAATACTCTTCCAAGTATAAAAGGGATGAAGTCCTGTTATCTGTGATTACTTGTATAGAGCTGGAAGTCTTTATGTAAAGTGAAAGAAGACTACTAGAGAAAGATAAATACCTCATTGTTCTACCCATAAATGGAATTTAAAATAGTTAATTCCATACAACTTGACGATAATTTGGTGGTGACCAAAGACTGCGTAGTAAGTGAGACAAGAGTGGAAAAAGGTTAATCAATGGTACACTAAGTACATTTATATAGGATAAATAAGTTTTGAAATTTCATTTTACAACAGAATGACTCTAGTAATAGCAGTGTACAGGTCGGTGCTGGTGGCTCACACCCATAGTCCTAGCTACTCAGGAGATGTGAGTCAAGATGTGAGGATTGTGGTTCAAAGCTAGACTGGGCAGGAAAGTTTGTGAAGCTCTTATCTCCACTAAACTATCAAAAAAGCCAGAAGTGTAGCTGTGCCTCAAGTGGTAGAGTGCTAGCTCAAGGACAGTGCCTACGCCCTGAGTGCAAGCTCCAGGACCAGCACAAACACACACAAAAAAATCTAGAAAGTCAAACTTAATCTTTCCCATTTGTACAGCAATAACATATGGTAAGAAACATGCAAGGATTTATATATGATGGTTTGATTATAGACACTGATAAAGTATTCTCTAAATCATAAAAACCCTAGAACATAGGATTTTGAATATACCCACCATCAATATAGTCAAAATTCTATTGCAAATGGGAAAGTTTAAGTTTGACTTTCTAGATTTTTTTTTGCATAGACACTGTCCTTGAACTAGTACTCTACCACTTGAGCCACAGCTCCACTTCTGGCTTTTTTGAAAGTTTAGTTGTTGTTCTCAATGTACTATGTGATTTCTTTTTCTTTTTTGTTTTTCCCCCCATGGTTGTCACTGTATTTGATTTTGGTCCCCTGGATATTATATATACGTGTATCTAAACTAGGGAAGAGAAGGGGACAACGAAATGGTGAGAAAAAGGACAAAGGAGGAGCCTATGTAACAGTGATACTCACAAGACAGCATGTTGGAAATGATCTGTACAACTTGGGGGGTTCCGGAAGGGGAGGGAAAGAGGGAGAAGAATCAGAAAGGGTAACAAGTTAGACAAGAAATGTAATAACTACCTTACTTATGTAACTGTAACCCCTTTGTACATAAAATTAAATAAAATTAAAACTTCCTGTCAAGATGTGTGCTCCAATCTACCTACTTTAGGCTTCCTAAATAGAGTTTACAGGGATAACAGATACATGACACTGCATCCAGCTTCTCTCCATTGAGTTGGATTCCTGTGGAGTTTTCTGCCCAGGCTGGCCTGAAACTGTGATCCCTGTGATCTCAGCTTCCTATGTACGTAGCTGGTGTGGACAGGAACATACCCAGCTACAAGTTCAGAAGGAGTCTCTGAGTTTTTTTCACTGGCTGGCCTAAAAACCTCTTGATTTCAAACTTCTGATTTTCTATGATTTCTGGCAGGAGCTACCAGTGCCTGGCATAGATAACTGTTTTTTTCATTCCTTCCACAACAATTCCTTTCTATGAATAACCTGAGGCCTTAAGAAGAAAATCTGTAAAAAGTGAATGAACAAAAAATTACAACAGGGAGGCCCAAAAGCTGCACTGGATATTGATGAAGATGAACTAAGTAACCCAAATGCAGTGATGGGAGGGAGGGAATGAGAGGGAAAGAGGGAATAGCTAACACTAAGCAAAAAGAAAGAAATGTACATATCACCCAATGTGGAGGAAATAGTTATATTGTCAAAGCTCACAGAATTCAAAAACTTTATAGACCAAGATAATGACAATTTGCCTTGTGAAGGTTAAAATGTGTTTGTGAATTTAACTAAGTATCATTATCCTATAATACAGTGAAATTTGTGACATTTATATAATCATTTAATCTCAATAAAGATTATTTTAAAAAATAAGTGAGGAATTAAACCTTGCCTTGGTTGGAACAAACACAATGTATATCAAAACATTCCATGGTATATTATAAATAGATATATAACTATATATGTCAAACAAAACAAAAATTTTAGAGGGGAAAAAATAAAAGCGGCTTTAATATTTCCATTATCCATTCTTCTCTAACATTAATAATTATAAATACATTGATAACTATTGACAGAAAATTTTGGTATACATTATTTATATTTACTTATGTGTTTACTTATGGTTTCATATGCATCCCAGGAGGGTCTTGAACTTGTGATCTACCTCACCTCCTGAGTGCTGAGATTAAAGGTGTGACCCACCACCTCCAGGTCACTATATATTCTTAACTTCAAGTAATATCACTGTGCTCATATTACAAATTTAAAAAATAAGGACTAGAAGACGTGATAAGTAAAATGACAAAGGTAATTAGTACATGTTGGGGGAGAGAGTAAAACAGAGAACTGAATCTAGACAGTGCTTTTAACTACAAAACTATCTCTACAAAAATAACTGCTAAAGGTTTAGGGGCTAAATTGAAAACCACTATGTTGGATTTTAATAAAATACACATGTCATTTACAGATTATCACTAGAATTATGTTACATTTTCCTTTTTTTTTTTTCCTTTCTTTTTTTTCTGGTCTGGTCTTGAATTCTGCACCTAGGCACTGTCCCTAAGCATCTTTTGCTCAAGACTACTATTCTACCACTTGAGATACAGTACCACTTCCAGCTTTTTCTGCGATCAATTGGAGATAAGAGTCTCAAAGACTTCCTGCCTGGGTTGGCTTCAAATTGCCATCCTCAGATCTCAACCTCCCTAACCACCAGTACCCAGTTATGTGTTACTTATAAGAAGCAACATTACTTCTTAATACCTTCCCATCCAAAAACATGCTATTAGTTTCCTATTAATTGAATTCTTGCTCTATATCCTTCATTAACATAGAAAAATAATTACTGTTAAATAGTTGTACAGAGGAGTTGCCACTCACCAAAGCACTGTGACTACAGTACATCTTCATCAAGGTTTCTCCTTTCAACATTCTCACCTATCCCTTCCCTCACTTTTCCTAATTTTAGGTTATGTATTGAATTATTGTCACTTAACAAAGCAATTTATGTATACAATGCAATCTGATCTATGTCAACACTTCAACATCTTCACCCCTTACTTTGACTCACCCTGTAGTTTATACAATGAATTCTTGCCTGCATTCTCTCCCTTTCCCCCTTTCATTCTTCTACCTCTCTCCTCTTAGGCCCATCTCCCCACTTGAAAATACTCATTTCTTGCTACTTATTTTCTTGGGCTTTGACTTAGTCTAAAGAATTGTGCTATTTGAGTTCTCCATAGTGTCTATTATACTTCAGTTTATTCATTTGCTTACCACCCAGTTTTTACTTAAAGATTTATAGGTTCATTCTAGGGACCACCAATGAGGAAAACCATGAAACCCATGTTTCTCTTGGTCTTGTTTACTTCATTTAATATAATGTTTTTCAAGTCTTTCTATTTCCTTACAAATGGAACAATACCAAACTTTCTGGTTTTTGTGGCCAAAAGGGAACTCTATTACACTGCTGGTAGGAATGTGAGCTTGTTCAACCACTCTGGAAAGCAGTAGGTAGTGTCCTCAAAAAGCTAAAAATAGAGCTACCCTATGACCCGACAATTATACTACTCAGCATTTATCCATTACAGCACAAACAAGGACACAAGAAAACTACGAGCAGAACCATGTTCACTGGGGCATTATTTTCCATGGCTAAGGCATGCAATCAGCCCAGATGCCCTTCAATGGACCAATAGACAAGGAAAGTGTGGTATATATACACAACGGAATTCTACTCCTTCAGTAACATTTACAGATTATACAGTGCTTTATCTTTGATGTCAAATCATGGTTCAAAGCCAGCCCAGGCAGGAAAGTCCGTGAGACTCTTACCTCCAATAAGCCACTCAAAAACCGGAAGTGGCGCTATGGCTCAAGCTGGTAGAGCGCTTGCCTTGAGCTGAACGCAGGGACAGTGCCCAGGCCCAGAGTTCAAGCACCACAACCGACAAAAAAAAAAAAAAAAAAAAAAGAATGCCAACTATAAATTTAAAAAAAAATTAAACTTGCTGAAGTTCTACTAGTAAGTTTTACAGTAATGACACACTTGATTATGTTCTACATAACATGTCATAGAGTTATATATGCTGTAAAGTTTTGTAACTAAACTGGCTTCAAAGATCCTGTTTATAAACAAACTCCCAAAAGTTGAAAGAGACAACTGAACATGTTCAAAAAGACAATTTGGTAGAATGTCTTCTAATGAGGAGGAAGCATATGTGAGTCAATGAGCTTACTTTCCATACCACACAGCTGACAGCAGCACTTGGATTGCTTTAGCATTATCACACATCTCTCGATACAATAAGGATTGCATTATTGCTCTATCATTTGTCAAGCTATATAGAAAATTCAGAGTCAATGGATGCCACCTGTAAGATAATTTTTGTTACCTGTTTATAAAGCAACTGCTCATTTTCTCTAGCATAACAGAAAAGAACATCTGTAAGAATTTTCCTCACATTTTCTTGTTGGAAAAACTGCATTTCAGGAAACCTGAAAAAAGAAAACACAGTATTGAAACTCACTAGCTATCTCAAGAATTATGTTCAAACTCTCATCTCTAATGACAGGTTTGAAGACAACTCTGTATTTGCCTTGCAACTTATGTCATTGGCAGGTTTTAAAAAGAGAAATGATTATATCCCTAGGGTAAACGATATTCTTCTACACTAAACATTTCAGATTTCTTCACATACATAAAGTTATTCCATATGTAGGAAGACAGACATGAATTATAGTGGACCTGTTGGGAAATGAAAGACTTGTGCTTTGTAGCCCATTTTTAAAAACTAGAAAGTGATTTTGTATAAGAATTATCTTTTCCAAAAAGTCATTATCTATATTTTTTCTTAATACAAATACCCAGTTTTCAATTGTATCTGAGTACCTTATCAATTTCATTTGGCTAAAATATAGAATTCAAGTGGGCCAAAAGTTAGTAAGCATTGCTTAAATATTAAGTTAAAAAAATATCCTATGTACTTCCATGTAATGTGATAAGGAAAAGGGGCAGATAATCTGCTTGGAAAGAATTTAATTAGTTGTTTACACAGCAAGCTTGTACAACTGCAAAAACCAAAAGAGGAAGCACAAAACAGTGCTGAGGGCTGAAGGTGTACCACCGAGGAACAAACTGTCAAGAGAGTACACTGATGGGTTTGAAGAATACCTGGGATACGAGAAGCATGAAACATCAGTAGGTAAGGTAATTAACTCAGGAGGAAAACTAGGGAGGTGTAAAAGGCAGTGCACAGTTTCAAGTGCAGCACAACGTGATAGCTGAAAATCAGAAGAAAAAGAGAATTCCCTGAAATACTGTTACTTGGAGAGCAGGACAGTGGAACAGCAGATGAGGGGGACATGTCTGGAAAGAGCTTTGAAGGCTGAATTTGCCACTGAGTAAACTTAATTCAATGATTCTAGATTTTTAAGCAAGAGGCAATGAAGAACAGTCATGGAGTGAGTAGAGGTAAGAATATGCTTGTAAGAGTTTATAGGAAGGTGTTCAGCATGTAAGGAAATTGAAAGTCATACCTCGTTAGAAAAACTTGTATCCAAATTTCTATACATGGAATTTTTTAGCTGTGTATCCTTGAAGAAGTAACTACTTAAGTGTGTCATTTATTAAATAGAAATAATAATACTGCTTCTGTGACTAAGATGAGATTATGCGAAATAATAGACTCTGTGACTAAGATGAGATTATATGACAACATCAAGAACAGTACCTGACAAGTAAAAAGTAACCAGGAACAGAGGTCATTACTAGTCTTTGAGTAAATGTACTTTAGGTGAGGAAAAGGTAAATTACCCTCTTATGGAAATGGACTATAAATGAAAATGTGACAGAATGGAGAGGAAGGCTACCTAACACATGGAGGCATAGAAGAGTACTGAAACAAGCAAACAAACTATCCCCATTGGTGTCTTTTAAAGAGCAAAATAGTTGACACCAAAATGGTCCCTGACTTTTTTCTCTGGACATTTTGTTGTTTGACTCCCAATGAGAATTTAACATTTCCTGTAGTCTAGGTCTTCAATTTGACATCTTTTTCTTTTTTCTATGTTGCTGAGATTTGAATTCAGAACCTTGTGCTTGCTAAGAGAGCATTCTACACTTGAACTAGCTTTAGATTTTTTTTCTTCAGTTATTTTATGGTAGGGTCTCACTTTTCTGATTCAGAGCTAGCTTCAGACTTTGGTCTTCACACATGCACTGTGTGGATAATCTATACTTCCCTTCTTTGTTGAGAAGGGGTTACACTAAGTTTTAACCTGGCTTGGCCTGTGGATCTTTCTTATCTCTACCTCCTTTATAGGTGGGATTACAGGCAAGTTGTATTTTTAAATAAGGTTCATTATCAGTCCCAAATGAGTCAGAAAAATATATTTAGACAAAATTCTGAGACATTAGAACAAAGACCATCTAAATAATATACTTTCTACAAAAAATATTTGATTGTAAGATTATCAGTATGCAAGGCAGAAGACTTAGGCATCAGATGTAACAGAGGGAAAAGTACAGAGAAGAACACTGCTAGGAATAGTAATAACTATGTTCTGGTGACACACTGTGAGACTAGCTCCTTAGTTTCCATCCTCTACAGAATTGCAGGCACTTTTTTTTAACCCTATGCCAGCTGGTATTGACTTAGGATAGGTTAAGTAATTTCAACAGCAGTCTATCTATCATTAGAAAGACAAATTTGTTTTGAAGTAGTAATAAAACAGAACACAGATCCCAGATGTACAGTATACAATAACTGTTAAGGCTTTGAAAATTCAACATTACAATTTCATGAAAAAAATGATAAAGTAAAAATAATAACAAAAGTTATAGAAGTTCATAATTCTTTTAAATTAAAACAACTAATACAAAAATAAGAGGGGATATCTTTTAAAATGTTTTTAAATATTTAAAAATTGTTCTTGAAAAGGTGATATATAGGGCTGGGAAGGTGGCTCAGTGGTAGAGCTCTTGCCTTGCATGCCTGAGGCCCTGGGTTCGATTCCTCAGCACCACATAAGCAAAAAGAAAAAAGCCGGAAGTGGTGCTGTGGCTCAAGTGGTAAAGCGCTAGTCTTGAGCTGAGGAGCTCAGGGACAGCGCCCAGGCCCAGAGTTCAGGCCCCAAGACCAGACCACCCCCCCACCCCCCCCCCCCCCCCCCCCCCCCCGCCAAAAAAAAAAAAAGAAAAGGTGATATATAGAGGGCTTACAGTTATACAAGTCCGGAAAAGAGTACCTTCCTTCCTTCCTTCCTTTCTTCTTCCTTCCTTCCCTCCCTCCCTCCCTCCCTTCCTTCCTTACTTTTTTGTTGGTTATGGGGCTTGAATTCTGGGCATAGGTGCTGTCCCACAGCTCTTCAGTTTTAAGGCTAGCATTCTACCACTTGAGCCATAGAGTTACTTCTGGTTTTCTGGAAGTAAGATTCTCATGGACTTTCCTGCCTGGGCTGGCTTTTCACTTCGACCCTCAGATCTCAGCCTCTTAAGTAGCTAGGATTACAGATTGAGCCACTGGCGCCTGGCTAAGAATACATTTCTTTTTGGACAATATCATCCCTTCCCTTGCTATCTACAGGTTTTTCCATCCCATTCCCACCCACAAGTTGTACAGCTCATTTTCAGCATAGTGTCTAGTGAGTGCCATGGCTGCATTTGTTATAGGGGACATCTTAATAAACAGGAACTGGAGGCAGATTTTGTTATATCAGAAAAATGTCCAAGAGATATTATTTTTTGCATTTGGCCCAAAAATGAAAACAGGACTTTGAAGTAGGCAAGAATAAAACCCTGAAAACAGAACAAGTAAGGGAAAGCATGCATTCCATGATAAAATTTAGAAAAAATATTCACAAAAAGGTCTATGACTTTTACTTTATGTAAAAAAATTTAATTATTCCAGCTCTGAAGCCATTGATCAATATGCAAAACAAAAAGCTCAATAGAGCCAGGCACTGGTAACTCATGCCTGTAATCCTTGCTACTCAGGAGACAGAGATCCGAGGATCACGGTTCAAAGCCAGCCTGGGCAGGAAAGTCAGTGAGACTCTTATCTCCAATAAACCACTAAAAAATCAGAAGTGGTGCTGTGGTTCAAGCAGTAGAGCACTTGCCTTCAGCTGAAGAGCTGAGGGATAACGCCCAAGCCCAGAGTTCAAGCCCCACGACCGACAAAAACAAAACAAAACAAAACAAAAAGCTCAGTAGTGTTTCTTTATATTAACAGTAAACTTTTCAAAAATACTTGAGAGAATGAATCCATTTACATTACTTACCAAAACTCAGGGATAAGCCAGGCACCAGAAGCTAATGCCTATAATTCTAGCTACCTAGACAGCTGAGGATCATTAAAGTCTGTGAGACTCTTATCTTCAATAAACTACTCAAAAAGCCAAAAATGATGCTGTGGCTCAACTGGTAGAATCCTAGCTTTGAGCACAAAGCCTCACGGACAGTGCCTAGGCCTTGAGTTCAAGCTCCAGGACTGGCAGGGCACATGCACGCACACTCACGTGTACAAACACTCACATGTACACACACACACACACACACACACACACACACACACACACTTAGGGATAATCAGAGAGGCAAATTGTACATAAAAATATAAACAATGTACAACACTTGAACAATATATAAATGAAAAGATGTATTCATGGATTAGAAAACAATATTGTTAGAATGTCCATGGTATCCAAAGCAATCTGCAGATTCATTGCAATCCTTATCAAATTATCAATATAATTTTTCATAGAGAAAAAATCCCTAATAGGTAATAACAGACAAAAAATATAGCTGATGGCATTATACTAGCAGATTTCAAACCACTCTTCAAAGCAATAGAAATTAAAGCAGCATGCTACTGGGAAAAAAACACAAAAAAACACAAAAAACCAGATCTATCACAGCAAATAAAATTTAAAGTATGAAACTGAACAAACAGTTCTACAGTTAGCTGGCTTTTGACAGTAGTACTAAGAAAATACAGTGAAGAAAAAAGAGAGTCTGCTTAACCAACAGTGCTGGGGAAACATCTATATGCAAAAAGAAAAATTAAATCCACATATCACAGGCAAAACTCAACTGAATTTACACTTAAACTTAAAACCTGAAACACTATATATCTTATAAGATTAGTAAGGAAGGTGGGTGCCTGGTGGCTTATACCAGAGCTCTGAGCTACTCATGGAGTTGAAGTCCAGAGGCTGGTGGTTGGAAGCCAGAAAAATCCAAGAGTCTCCAATTAGCTAGCAAAAGCTGAGCTGGAGACATAGCCTCAGGGCAGGACTACATTTAATTCTAAGTATTTTAGATTTATTATACAATGTAGTAAAGACATCTAATCATTGACTACTATACATTTCAACATCAAACATCAATAAACTCAAAGATAAATTGTTCCATCACAAAAAAGTTCACATTTTGTGATGATGGATGGGTCAATTAGCTAATAATTCCACATTATATTTAAAAATCACAGTATCAG